TTCTGCTCTTTGTTTCTGTTCTGTGTATTTGCAGCTATTTCTAATCTCTGCCTTTGTGGTTTATAAGTCACTTACTCTCTCTTATCATTGAGCCAAAGAAGTTGGGTTTTTTGCCCCATCTGGGCCATTGGTCTTTCATAGATATTTAGCTGGCCTGGTAGCTTAAAGTCTTCTCCCACTCTTTCATTGAGAAGACTATTTGAAATTATTGAAAATATTAGTTCTCCAGCTCCTTGTTTCTGGAGCCTAGGTAAAGTTTTCCAGTAGGTGTACCAATTAAATGAAAAATATTGAGTAGTACCAAAGAGATACACCTGGTCATGAGTGTAGCTCTCTGGCTGTCTTTCCAGCCCTGTCTCCCTTCCCTGTGGGTTCAAGTTGTACTTGGCAACCCCATGCTCTAGCCTCTGCTGTTTCTACCCCATGGCTCCTGATGGTGTTTGGATGTTTTGTCCTCCCAGAACTCAGGTGGAAATTTGATCCCCAATGTGGCAGTGTTGGGAACTGATTGAGTCATGGGGGCGGATCCCTCATGAATGGATTAATGCTCTCCCTGGGGGAGGGGGGATTAATGAGTGAGTTCTCGCTGTATTAGTTCCCGTGAGAGCTGGTTGTTTAAAAGACCCTGGCACCTCCTCTCTCTCTTTCTTGCTTCCTCTCACCGTGTGATCTGCTTGTACCCCCTGGCTGCCTGCCGCTTTCTGCCATGAGTAGAAGCAGCCTGACCCCTGCAACAGACGCAGCTGTCCCAGAATCGTGAGCCAAATAAACCTCTGTTCTTCATAAACTACCCAGTTTCAGGTATTTTGTTATAGCAACACAAAAACGGACTAATACTGATACCTGTTGAGTATCAGTAGCCTGCTCAAGTCTCACCTTTTGACAAAGTCCTTCTAGCTCTTCTTCGATCTCATACTATACTTTTTGTCAGAATTGTAGGGAACTTGGGCCGGCCCAGTGGCGCACTGGATAAGTGCGCCATTTGGGAAGCGCAGCGGCGCTCCCGCCCGAGGGTTCGGATCCCACATACAGACCGGTTCCCGCTCACTGGCTGAGCGAGGCGTGGGGGCAACGCCGAGGGTTGCAATCCCGCTGCCGGTCCCTGGTCCGGTACGGGGGCAACACTGAGGGTTGCGATCCGTTGCCGGACACGGAAAAAGACAAAAAGACAAAAAAAAAAAAAAAAAAAAAAAA